TCCAGACAAATCTACATTCAGAGTAAAAATTTAACGAGCCACGCATGACTCCACTATAGCTAGATGACATCCAGTACCAATGTGGTCTTCAGGGGCCCAAAGAAATGGGGCTTGTGAGAGCTAGATAAGCCATCCCCAGAGGATCTATTACAAGGATGTAGAAGGAAATCTTATTTCTTAATATTAGGAAAAAAATTGTCTTCCTAGGAAATTAATAGAAAGATATGAACCAAATTTTAACAGTAGTTATTTATGGGTGTAAAATTATAAGCAACTTTACCTCCTTTTGCAGTAAATATTTTTTATAATTTATATGAAATGTAATTTTATAAACTAAATAAGTTAATTTTAAAAGCTAAACTATCAGGTCATTATGATATAATGCTAAGTGAGGAAAAAACAGGATAAAAGTTCACATTGTTTATATCCCTTAACTGTATAAAACGTATGTATAGAAAAAATGGAAAAAATACAATAAACATTAGCAGTAGTATCTCTAGATGATAAAATTACATATTGTCTTTATTTTCTGATTTATCATTTTCCATACTCTTCAATATTTCTACAACAGATATATATTTTTCATACTGGAAAAAAAAATTACTTGAAGGGATATGTATGCCCAGTGGGCTCAGTTTCTGTATAGGAGACCAATATTGTAGGAACCACTGTCACTGCCAGATAAAAAAGTTATTCGGGGCATCTTTTTTCCTCACCCCCAAGCACCTGAAGAATACTATAAATTGCCAATAGTAACAACTACACACAACCATGATTTATCTTGAGAATCACTGGCCCACAAAATTTTTAAAGAGTTCTGGAGGAACTCTAGGATTACAGCTAAGTGCTAAAAACAAGAGTTAAAAAATAAAATTTGCAGGCTATGATTCTACAGATTCAACTGTTTAAATGTAGACAGGATAATATTCAGAGTAATCTTATACAAGTATATGAAACACTACTAGGCACAAGAGGATTAACGACTTTCTGTCCCCAGTAGAGAAAAGATAAAATGGGTCTTAGTGGCAGAAGGATTTTAACTACACCATCAGCCATGCCAAGCCCAGAAAGTTATAAGCTGAAAAATAAATCAAGATTTGGATAAACTTAAAATTTAACACTTGCTGCACTGTTACATACTGGCTCCCATGTCCCTTGCCATTTGAAAACATGAACAGTGCCAACGAAAATTCTCCAAGTTGAAGGCTTTGTCTTACCAAAACCACAAAGTTAAATTGTAAATGTGAAACCTACAGGAAGGGTAAGAACACTAGAGGGGAGCCTTTCCCTATTTTCCTGGAATCTTCAAATTAAAGATATCTATATATCTAGGATAGATTAGTGGCAATGCCTGGCTGGCTTAGAAATTTTCTACAGATTCCTTCCTATCTTTGTGTAGACTGTGATAAAACCTTAAAATAAGGTTTAAAAACACCCATCCTTACAGAAAGCATGCTGTTTTGTATAATGTACCCTAAAATTCTAGTAGAAAGACTTCAGTTTCCATAATATTTAACCATTGAGATACAATCTTTTAGTTTAATAAACAGGTATTAAAAACAACTCTAGTTTTTTAAAACATACTATTCTACTCTAAATAAATTTATACTATGGTACTTGAAAATCTATCGAAGTGTAGATTTTAACCATCCTCAATTATTTTTACATTAACCACTTTTATTTCCCCTCTAAAGTTCTTAACCACATGGAATCAACAAATTCCTCTAAACATTTTCCTTAAGGATAAAATGGATGGAGACACAGTGAAATGGTGTGTGATGGCCACTGTCATTCTAATAAGGGAAAGTTGCACAAAAAAAATGTAACAAATTCTGTATATAAACAGTCTAAACGTAGATTTTACCAATAAAGATATAAAATTAGATGCTAATGTCAGTGTTTTCAGAAAAAGATAAAGTAATAACTGTATAAGCATTACAGTACTACAAATGATTTACAGAAACTAAGAAACTTAACTAAACATAAACCCCCTCTAAAATGCAAACCATACATTATCTCAACATGATTTATAGAAGGACTGTATCCAATGAAAATCCAAACTCACTTTTAGGTAACACCCAGAAAACTGAAAATGCTGTTCCTATTTTAATTTAACATGTATTTCTCAAATAAGATTCACCATGAACATTAGTTTAGACTATATTTTTATATCCTCTTTAGATAGCCAAGTGAAAAATCCAACAATACACAAATTTGTACTTTCATCAGTACATAAAACAACAACAGGTAGTGAGGCTAGAAAACAACACAAGTTCAATCAAATCAATACAATACAAGTACAGAGGCATCCATGTTAACCTACAAGGAAAAAATCTGGGCCACAAAACAGGTTTTCTATTTTGAATCTCACTAACTGCTAGACAGTCTGTGTATTTTGACCTTAAAGTGGTCAAAATATTTAATGAGTGAACCTCATGTTCTACTACCTACAAAGGTGAAAGCAACAGAAAAATTGTCATTTTATGTTGCTGAGTTTTTAACTAAGTCTTTTATATTACTTATTTTGTTTAGTAGCACGTGATAGAATTATACACAAATTATTTTTTAAAAATTAAATGTGGTTATTTCTATATACCTTAGGCCCTCAGCCTAATTTCTGCCTCTGAAGTGCTAATACAGTATTTAAAACTATACAAACATCCAGTAAACAGCATTTTATTTTATGACATTCTGTGTTAATACAATAAATATACAAAACTTCCAAACCACTGAAAACATGCAACATTAGAGGGACAGATGGAGGGCATTTATACAGAACCATGACAGTCACCGTAATGGCAGCGCAATATTACTCGTTGACAAAATATACAAACATCCCTAGATAAATAATCCAAGTCCCAAATTAAAAACCACTGAGCAATGATTTTCCAGTGTTCAAACTTTAGTTTGAAATAAAATAGCCAAAACTTAATATTACCAACTGAAAAATGACATGGATCCTTACAATGTGAAGACCATTTCATGATTGCGATACTCGGTAATGCTAATATTAAATATAAAACACTAACAAGTGCCAATCTTCTACTGAGTGCAAATGTGACTATTTACTAATAATTATTGTTAAGAGAATAGAGATTATAAGACTTAAAAACCCCTCTACCTTATTAAACTGTTAAGCAGTGCCATCATTTTAATGCACATTTATGTTTTTAAAAAAACATTTTTCTCTCATAAGCTTGTATTAACCCAAATAACTGGAATTTAAAACATTTCCCCCATCCAAACAAAAAAAGGTACAGTTGGTTGTAATTATTCTTTGCTATTTAGCAATAGAGGATTTCTACAGAATAGAGAGAAGCATTCCTAATTCTTGAAGGAAAGTATCTCAGTATTTTTCAAAAGTCTCTATGATAAAGTTTTCATTTTGCAGTTTAAAGAAAAACAAAAGGAACTTGAGAGATGAATTAATGACAGACATAAGTACTTTTGCTGTATTTTGTGATTAATGTTTTGAATGTTTGTAAAATCCACACTCAACAAAGCATACTGATGAGACAGATTTTCAGTAAGATTATAGACTCTAAAAATCTTGAACTGGCTTATTTGGTTGAGAAAGTAAGTAGAGATTATCACTGATCAGAAATATTCATAAAAACAGCTTTAAATTCATACTCTGAATCCTACTTTCATCAGAATAAAAGAAATATCTTCCAAGTATATTACTTCAACAAAGTCCCAAATAAATCAAATGTAAACACCATCTGGATGGATCCGTGTTATATCTAGTATCACACAAAGCTTCTTTCATAAATAGTGAGAACTCACCATCCTACCCCCAGCATGAAACTCATTTTAACTCCAGATTTGAGGGGAAGAATAAAAGTGATTTAACCATTTACACCCAGCCAATTTTTTAGTCTCAAATAATATAATCTAATAGAGTACCCTTACTTTTCAAAATCAAGTTGAATACTTATTATTCTGCAATCTTTTAGGTTAGCTAATGACTTCCAAAACAACAGTATCGTGACCTTACAAATGTCTTTAAGTCATTTAATCAGTTATTAAAAATGACTCAAAGTTTCAACCCAAGTATACTATAAGAATGAAGTTCTGTGCTGCATAGTAATAATTTTAACATGATTATATCCATAATTAATGCATTCAACTGTATCTGTATTTTCTTGCTTGATGCAAGTTAAATGTTTTATGTTTTCTATTGCTACAAATTTTAATGTATTCAGTCTGTCTCAAAAATTCAAAGACTGAGGTACGTTAGGGATTCAGGTATATGTGAAGTGCCAGGGTCTTTTTATTTTTAATGCCAACTAGACATGAGAGGCTAAAAGAAAAATTTCTTAAATACTGTTGTGTTCTTTTTGGACATGGAGTTAGCCTAGACTTTATTACCTCTGTTAAAAATTACACACACATACCCCAGAAAAGAGCTGCCAAACACAGTCTCAGTTCAATTAAAAAGAGTAGCCACAAGAATATACCAAAGTTTCCATACAGTAATATTTTACTATGATATGAAGACTGAAAATTAAAAACAAAAAGGTATTATCATCACTACATTCTATTCCATCAATTATCTACCTTTTCTTTTGGATAATGCACTGCATATTATATTATATCCTCGTACTGCACCCCAGTGAATTTTTATTTAGCAGAAAGTATTACAGAAAATCATTTCTATGATTCTATAAACAACTCCCCAATCCTGCAACCATGAGCAGTGCATAACCCAAAATACTAATTCTTTTAAGAAACATGGTGACCATGCAAGATCAGAGCTTGATTATCAAAATATCAACTACTCTAAGAAAATAAAAAGATAAAATTTACATTATCTACCATGAAATGTACACAGGCTCTTCACTGGTGACTGAAACTGCTGAAAAGCAAGCCAATTTAAAAATCCCTAAGTCTCTGATGTCCTATTTCTTTCAACATAAATAAGGAAAAGGAATGAAGCGTTGCTTTACTGCTCCAATGTGTAATCCTTACGTCTGACTCTTGAAAGAATGACTGCAGCAAGTACTAAGTGCATTTTTAATCCTAAGTGCCATGTTAATTTCAGCGTGTCACCACTGAAATAATTCGCTGAACATTCATCCCCCAAAAAATATGGAGAATATTTATTTCACATGTAATTTTTTTTTTTTTGCAAGGGGCACTGAAATATTAAGAAACTATCAGGTAAATAATAAGACAAGGAAGTTTTTCTGGTTTTAGCCCATGCACAAGTGATTAGGAAATATACGTGCTGTGTGTACTGTGTTTTGAACAAAAAAAATATTTATAGAATACAGTAACTGGAGAAAAAAGTACAGTCAGAAGGTAACAATGTATTGTTTGAAGACTCTAAATTTGGTTACCCTTGAAAGCATTCTGAGCTGCACTAGTTGCTGCGGTTGAAGCTGCATTTGCAGCTGCAGTCTGGACAGTTTTGTTGGACATCACACCTGTTGCAAACTCTTGTTGGGCCTTCTCAAAACTAGCACCTGTTGTGCGATACAGTCCATGTACCTACGGAGGCACAGAAAAGTGGGAGAAGATGAGTAGTAATCTATGTGTTCATTATCAATAGCTCTTCAATTAATCCCAACACGACTCAGAGATAAAAAGACTAGATTCTAGGCAGGATTCCTAAGATCAAGAACATCAGCCACCACAGTGGCACGCAACCTTGTATGTAAATATTTTCTTAAAATAGACTTTTCCCTTTTATCTCCAATGCAGAAGAGACAATTATGCCTATGCCAAACCAAAAATAATATAAAAAACGACTTCTTAACCAAATGCAAAAAGCTATGTTTTCCACTGTACCTAATTAAGATATTACAGCCTTACAAAAGAATGGTTTAAACATAACAGGAGACATTCTAACTTAAATACATTAATTTACTACCCTAGACAATTCAAAAAAAAATACCTTACCTATTTCTATGTTGGCTACATATACACCCCTGCCCCTATTGTATCAAATGGTATCGTTTCATCATTTAATGTAGCGAGCAATATGTGTGTCCTTAAAGATAATTCACTCTGAATACTATTTAAGTTTTTGTGTATGGTCAAGTCCTAAAGGATTTAAGAAGCACACTTCTGAGCGCTATCTGTCCATACTGATTCATCACTCAAATCTTAGATTTTTACAAGCAGGGTTCAAAAATACTCTTTCTGTTAGCATCTCTCTCAAAGATGCATAAACTATGAAGCACATCAATCCATAACATCAGCCACCCCATCTAATACAAATTTGAGAAAGGAAATAACAAGGCACATTAGGACAAATATTGATATTTATTTATTACATACCTACAAACTTGGGGGTATGAAAGATGAGGAAAAAAGATGAGGAGGGAAGATGAGACAGAAAAGTGAACTTGTAATTACACTACACTGTGATTAGGTCTAAATTAGAAGCCTGACTAGAATGTCATCAAAGCAGGTTTGGAGGATGGGGGCAGTACACCCAAGTCAGCCCTTTTCCCAAACCTAAATACATAGGAACTGGTTAATTGTGGAGTTAAGTGTGGAGTGAGGAAAAGTAGGAGTCAAGTACTTTCAAGTCAAGTTTAGATACTGGGAAGTTGTTTCACAAAGAGAATACAGAGGATACGTTGGTTTGTGGGGAGAGTAGATGCTAAGTTCTAAACATTCATCCATTGCACAAATGTTTACTGAATACCTACTCTAAGCCTGCCCCAGCAGACAGGTGAAAATGTGGTTTGGAGGTAGAGAGGAATGGGCGAGAGACATGGACTTGGAAACCAATGGCACATAATGGTAGCTACAACTCTGACGTAATGAAACTGTCCACGGAGAGATAACACATAAAGTAGAAAGAGAAAAAAATCAAGTACCGAAGCCTGTTTAGACACCAATATTTAAGAGGTACCCATAACAACAAGAAATGATTAAGAGAGGAATGATAAAACCAGGGACCTTTTCACAGATGCCAAGGGAAGAAAGCAGTTAAGGAATGAAGAGCTGTCGGGGAAAATAAGGGGTCAAAGTCCCAAGTTCTACTGATACACAGTAGCGAAAGCAAATGCCATATTACTATGGATCAAAGTATTAAAGGGTCAGGGAGAGGGACTTCCCTGGTGGTCCAATGGTTAAGACTCCTCACTCCCAATGCAGGGGTCCGGGGTTCAAGCCCTGGTCAGGGAATTAGATCCCGCATGCCGCAACTAAAGATCCCACATGCTGCAACTAAAAGATCCTGTATGCCGCTACAAAGATCCTGCATGCTGCAACTAAAAGATCCCACATGTCACAACTAAAGATCTTGCGTGCCGCAACTAAGACCCAGTGCAACCAAATAAATAAATAATTTTTTTTTTTTAAAGGGTCAGGGAGAGGGACTTCCCTGGTGGCGCAGTGGTTAAGAATCCGCCTGCCAATGCAGGGGACATGGGTTCAAGCCCTGGTCCAGGAAGATTCCACATGCCATGGAGTAGCTAAGCCCATGCTCCACAACTACTGAGCCTGCTGCGCTCTAGAGCCTGCGAACCACAACTACTGAGCCCGTGTGCCACAACTACTAAAGCTTGTGCGCCTAGAGCCTGTGCTCCACAACAAAGAGAAGCCACCGCAATGAGATGCCCACGCACTGCAACGAATAGTCCCCACTCACCACAACTAGAGAAAGCCCACACGCAGCAACGAAGACCCAACACAGCCAAAAATAAAAAATCAAGTGAAAATTTTAAAAAAAGAGAGAGAAAAAAAGGGTCAGGGAGAAAAAGAGAGCATTGACAAGTACATATACTGGTGAACCTTAAAATTCTTTTAGTACCACAGCACTACCATAAGTATATTTTTATTCCCTTTCCAAACCAAGTTTTTAAAATAAGAAATTAAAGATACAGATAAATTACTACACCTATGTTTAAGAAATTTCTCTCACAATGAGTACATATGATTAGATCCTACAAATTAAGTGTATTATAGAAATCTAATAAACCTTCTTTACTTACTAGACCTAGCCACAGTGCAAAGTAATTACAGGTTAACTTGTCTGTCTCTCCCCCTTCCCCCCACCCCAATTTATGGGCATGTAATTAACAAACATCTGTTCTAATTTATTCCTTCTTTCAAATTTGTATTAAATTGAGTGGCTGATGTTATGTATTCATGAACTTCATGGTTTAATTACTTAAAATGTAATTCATAGCCCCACAGAGCAGAGAGGTAAAATAAAGGTAGGAATAATACATTTCTCAATAGTCTATATCTATATAAACCCAGAGAGCCACCTAGAGGGAAAAGACTGCATATGTATTCAGTGCACAATGCTCAAATACTGCATTAGATCCACGATATCCATGTGAAAGGGGTGATTCTTCATTTCAGTGTCCCAGCAAGATGACGGGCTAATTTCAAGGATCAACATCTCAAAAAGCTTACCATTTCCCTGTTATGTTTCAGTGATATCTACTGATATCTATTGATAACACACTCCTTAAGAAATCAGGGAGATAGTTTTAAGGTAAAACAGTGTAATTAAAAAGCAAAAACTAAACAACTTAAATACTTGCTATCTCTTCTACTTATGAGAATTGCACTAACCTACATATTTAGTCCTAGGAGTACCACAGAAAGGACACTAGATTTGGTACCTAGTGATTCCACTACTTTCTGCAGGGCTGGACACCACTCAAAACCTCAAGTTTACTTCTCATACAACAAGAATCTTTCTTGTCCTGTTTGTCTCTCAGAGTTTTCCTGAGGATCAAATGAGAATTATGTAAATGTGTTAGACTAATAAAAATTAAAATTAACTTTAAAATATCTGCAAAAGTGTCACAGCCAAGCCACAACTCCAGAAAAGAATCCTGCTTCCTTAATGTATCTTCAAAATTATCTTAGTGTACAATGTGGTTGAATGACACACAAAATATTGTATACTATGGAAATTAAAAACCATGGTACTTTATTTAAACAAAATAATCCAAATGTATTGTTTCCATTAATGCTTCCAGAACACCATATCAAGAAATCATGATTTTGGATGGCAGAGTAGGAAGACCATGAGCTCACCTCCTCCCACGGGCACCCAAACTTACAGCTATTTACAGAGCAACTATTGATGAGAAAGACCTGAAGACTAGCAGAAAAGATCTACTAAAACTAAAGTTATACAGAAGGAAGCACAATAAGACAGGTAGTAGGGGCAGAGATGCGGTACAGTCAAGGCCTAAACCCCTGGGTGGGCGATCCACAAACGGAAGGATAATTAGAATCACAGAGACTCTCCCTGAGAAGTGAGGTGTTCGAGCTCCACATGGGCCCCGCCACTGGGAAGGTGAGCCCCCAGAACATCTGGCTTTGAAGACCAGCAAGGCTTGCTTCCAGGAGAGCCAGAGGGCTGTAGGAAACAGAGACTTCACTTTTAAAGGGCATGCACAAAATGCCACCTGCTCTGAGACACAGGGCAGAAGCAGTAATTTGAAAGAAGCCTGGGTCAGACCCACTTGAACAGCCTCCTGCAGACACAGGAGGCAACTGGAACTTAGCTTGGGGACACAGATGCTGGTGGCAGCCAATTTGGGGAGCTCAGGCCACCACAAGGGCACTGGTATTAGAAAGTGCCATTTTGGAATCCTTCTCACCAGGGCCGGGACCTGGTCCCACCCACCAGCCTGTCAGCACCAGAACTGGGACACCTCAGGCAAAGCTACTAACAGGTGGACACAGCCTGACCCACCAGCAGACCAGCAGCCTTAGGATCCCCAGAGCCCCCAGCTAACCCAAGACCCAGCCCCACAAACCACTGGCCAACATCAATCCCCAGATCTCCAGGGCCATGCAGCCAAAGACCCCAGAACCTGGGTCCACCTACCAGTGAGCCAGCACTAGCCCTGGGACCCCCCCGCTATGTCTCATCCCCATCCACAAACAGGCTGACCCTAGCTTCAGGATGCCCTGGTTCTGCAACCAGAGACCGCAGGACCTGCCTATATTCACCAGTGGGCCAGCACCAGCCCCATGACTCAGCCTCATGCACCAGTGGGCAGTCACCAGCCCTGGGACCCCTTGGGCCCCAATCACACCCAAAAGAAAGCCAACACCAGCTTCAAGACACCATGGACATGGCAGACAGTTGTCAGGAACTGACCCCACCCACCAGCAGGCCAACATGGGATCTGGGACACCTAGCACACAAACCAGCCAACATAAGACCCAGCTCCACCCAGCAGTGGGCCAGAACTAGCCCTGGGGCCCCCTGGGGCTCTGTAACCAGCCACCTCGTGACACGGCCTGGCCCATCAGTGGCCGGCAGCCTCTACACAAGGCAGGGCATAGCAACCAACCAGACCGGGGGCTAGCCATGCCTACCAGATTGCCCACAGTATCAGCATACCACAACAAAAGGGCCCATGCAACCTACCTATGGGGCAATCCCAGAGCATATAGGTCTGGTGACCAGAGGGGAGTGCACTGCTGGGACACATAGGACATTTCCTACATAAGGCCACTTCTCCAAGATCAGGAAATATAACAAGCCTACCAAATAC